GTTCAAACCACATTAAAATTAGATGGGAGAGATCAATAGCAGAGACCAGGCTGGGTAAAATACATTTAGGAAGACAAAGTCCTGCTGTAGTCCCAGAGAGTCAATTCTAGCTTCGTTTGGATGAACTATGGCAAGAGATGTTAGTGAGATGGGCAGCCTGCCTTTGGGTTCATAGCTGCAGAAAATACTGCACGCAGAGTGAAGGCAGTGAAATGGCACAAACTCAACAAGAACTTTCTAAAGCTGAAGTTGATCTCAGCTCTGGGATTAGGAGTTTCACATGGAGATTCAGAGCAAGGCAGGTATAGATGCCCTTATGGTCTAGAGAAACCCCTGCCAGAGCACACTGTCTCCTGGGATGCAGGTGCACAGGACTGCTAAAGGAGCTCCGGCACATCAGCCTCATGTGTGTGATATATGGGTGGCTGGCTGCCGTCTCTGCTGACCAGCTCTGCTGGATGTTGCGGGCTTGGAGATGATGTGCTGGGACAGAAGGCAGGGGTAAGGATATCTTTCAGATCCTGGCTGGAGGAGGAGTGTAGGAGTAGGAAGATGACTTTATAATTGCTTTTTTTTATCACTCTTTCTGACTATATTGACTTTATACTTGACACAGCTTTGGCTGGCAAGTGAGGCCCAGATACATTCAGAATTAGATATGACTAGGCTCATTCTTACATGAGAAGAAAATTGTCGGTTGCTACAGAAACAGCTCCATATCAGTCTCATGGGGCATCTTTGCATCTGGCTTTTTTTCCTTCTCTTTTGCTAATCTGTAGATAAGAGTCAAAGCAAGTGCACCAAATCCCACATCCATATAAAAGGTTGGAGGAACTCTGCAGAGAGCAAAGTGTGAAAGAACATCTTGTAGATAAGCTAAACTTAAATGAATGAGTTAATTTACAACCCCCTACAATTTTTTTTCTAGTCTTGCAACTCTCGCTGAGCTAATTGAGGTGAAAATTAAATGACACCAGTCAGCAAATATTTTAAAGACCACCAACATCAAGAAAGAGAAAGGAGGTACTCAGAAGGGAGTTACTAAGAAAAATTTAGGAAACTATCCGAGGGGTGAGTTAGAATCTGTGTTGGGAAAACTGCGTATTGCAGTGGAATAATAATCCAGATTCACTTTCAGGCAAGTTGTTTAACTTGATAAATTAAGGAATTAGTTAAAAATAAGTGTATATTATGGGTGAACAGGGACCATTCTGCACACTTCAGACCAGCTCACCAATGAGGTTTTTCAACTGGTTTTCTAAAATGTAATGAATTCTTGATGCTTAGTAGATTAATATTTATTGAGTGAATCAATGTTTAATTTATTAAAAATTTGCCTTCCTTGTATTTTAATATGATTTATTACTCGTCAGTGCTTATTGCATTAATTAAAGATTGTGTTAATTTTGTGGAAGTGAACACGATCTGCTGCAGGTTTGCTGCAGAGCCCGAATGCACTGTAGGGACCGTGCCTCTGGGTAGTACCAACGATAGAAAACTGCAGGAGGTGAGAAGCCAGTATGAATCACCAATGGCCTCTTCCTGCCCTTGGGCTTTCAAATAGCCAGCAAAGTGAAAATGAGGATGCTGCCCCTTAAGGGTAGGACAGGATTATAGCAAGAGATACTGCGGTGGTACAGGGAATCTTTCTGTTTGCCTCTTATGAATTATGGCTGATGCTGTGGAAGTAATTTTGAGTGTTTCTCATGGAATGCCTTTTTGTCAATGTAGGTGAAATCCAGCCCTAGCGATATGGGAAACTGTCACCTCTCGCCCGACCAGGGACAATAGTCATTACATTTCAGTGCTCAGGTTGTAAGTAATTCTTGGGATAGTAGGTTGCCTGAAGACTGAGATAGTCCCAAGCATCTCTGCAAGGGCAGGTGTTCGAGAAGTGGAAAATTACTAAAGGCAGAACAAAAAAAGCCAGACATCTTGTGAGATGAGTCTTTCAAGAAATCTGTCAAAACAGGGAGAGGGTGATCGTGCTGGAGGGGGGCAACAGCTGCAATTTGCATCTTTCAGCACTGAAGGGAGAAGCGGATATATAAAGCCCCACAGCCATGATACTTCTGATGCAATTATTTTATTAATCTTTGTGACACTTGTAATGTCTCTCTCTTTAAATTCAAATCCTGCTGCTTTTATAGCTACTTATAAGTGTGTCTGTATGTTTTTTAAAAAAATTCATCTAGTTACTAGACTGCTTGCATCCAGCTGAGCCCTGGAAACAGCGGAGAGCTAGCCCCTGAGATCTGAGAGTAGGCTTGAATTTCCGGAAAGTGATTGGATCCATAATTAGTGCATTTTTGCATGTTTAAATGCATGATTCTGGAATGCACTTTGCTGTTTCCTCCTCTCCAGGGCTTGGGTGAGTGTGCACAAACTTCCCTTGCCGAGCTAAATTAGAGAAAACTCTTCAAGGTCTGCTGAAGGTCAGAGCAGAGAGATTTTTTCTCTCTCAGTGCACTGGTCAGGCAGTAACCACCGTGCTCCAGCCTGGAGCGTTTGGGAGGAGCCAATGCCAAAAACCTGGTGGCATTTCAAATCCCTTGCAGCAGTTAGGTGTTAGTTGCAAAAGATCAGTGCTGCTCCACTTGAAGTCAGAGAAATAACTTGTGCTTAAAGTTGAGCACATCCACAAAGATTTCCTGGATCTGGAGTTAATTTGTTTTTTTTTCCAAGGCCAGCTTGAAGGCAATGTCCAATCAGGAAAAAAGTTACAAACTGAACATTTGACTTGTAATGATTTCATTTTATTTCCTATTTTGTTTAGCCTATTCTATATGCTTTTGTTTTCCTGCAGTATCAAGTTAAGCTATTTAGTTTTTTATTTAACGTTTATATTTACCCTAGTTAATAGAATCAAGTTAGGACTGGGGGCCAGTTGGGCTACATGCCTTTCTCTCTATTCCAAATCTCTACATTTCATAACCTTCTTTCATGCAGGATATTTATATTCCACCTTTTTTCCCAGTAGAGAAGCTTTCACAGAGTATGGGCTTTGGATATATATTTTCTGCTCTAGCTGTTCATTAGATATACAGCATTTGGAGTTCCAGGTGTGCTGAGAAATGTAAGCAAAGCTTTTGGCCCAGTGGGTGCTATGCCCTGACATTTCATAGTTTTCTATATATGAATCAGGATTAAGGCACAGGATCTATATAAAATTCAGCTCATTAGGAGATGTTTTGTCTCATGGCTCGCACTGGGGAGGTGGGTCCTTTGCTTACACTATTGCTTACTTTGCCTTATTGCTCCCTGGGAAAGGAGGATGGGGTGAGCAGACCCCAGCTGAGTAGGGACAGCATTTCTCAATGACTCTTGTGGAGGTGACAGAAGACAGCAGCAGGGTCTTCTGCTCCCTTTAACAATTACCCTGGCACACCTGGAAAAAGGCTTGGCATAGGCTGGCTTTAGTATTTGATAATAAAGCAAATGTGATCAAGCACACCACTAAGGTCATAGAATGACTTGTCAGAGTTAAAAGAACAAGGAGTACCTATGAAAGCAGACAGGAATGGATTTTCTCACAAATATGATTTGTGTTGTACATGAGTTAAGGTACTGAAGGCCAGGAAGGTTTCAGAAAATGTGTTTTTTCAGCCTGACACCCCACTCAGCTTCCCAGCAGGCCTCATTCACTGTTGGACATATAGCTTGAGCACATTCAGTGCATGATCAACTGTGTCCGTACACTTTAGCCACTGAAGCTTTACTTATAGAGAAATGATGGGTTTGGAAAGGAGTTTCATCAGTCATAATTTCCAAGGAAGAGCGTTCACAGTAGGGAATACCAAGTCAATGTTTCCTCCTCAAGGACTTTCAGCTGTCACCCAGGGAATACAGTGAATGCTGTGATGAGAATTAGATTAGAAAAAGATCAATAGGGCTGACAATAAATGAAAGTAACACAGACATTATTGAGCAGATTAGGAGAGAGAAATTAAACTGGACAGTATAATCTTCAATGCCAGCTAGACACACTAATGTTGAGCAAAGTTAGGAAGAAGAAAGTGCTATGAAGAAGAGGCAGTAACAGTCTGTCTGTGAGATGGGGAAAGCCCTGCTGGTGATGGAAAGCTCTCAGCCCACAGAAAGGTGGAAAAGGATGATAATGGTCAAGGAGCACTTGGATTTCAGTGGCAGGCCACAGAGAGGCAATGGTGGGGAGATCACCTAAGGCTGCGAATATGGAGTAGGCAACAGCTTTGGCTACATGTTACAGGGGAAAGGGAACCTCAGATGCACTCCACCATCACCAAGGCATTGGTGGGATAGCTTGTTCTAGGCAAAAAAAAAATTCCTAACCTTCTCATAGTACTGGTTGGTTTGCCCTGTGAAGGTCTGCAGCCCTTCCAGAAACCACTCTTCTGTTTAAACTTGATTATTTGCCATAATAACTCCCTGTGTTTTGCTGTCTGTACAGATATCCAGTGATGATCAAGTCTGGCAAGCTTTTGGGGTGAGGGATATCTGGTGCAATGAGATCCATGGGCTGACTGCGCTCACCATGAAAAGCAGCTTTCCTTTTATCAGTCTTGAGTTTGTCTAGATCCTCTTACATGTCTTTGAAAGGTTCACCCCAAGGCAATATAATTGTGTTTGATCACATGCAGGCTATGAGTCAGTGATTGATATGAATAAAGAACTTAGAGTTTCTTGTCTTGGTTCCTTGTCGTCCCCACTGTGGAATCAGAAATCACTTTTATAAATATATCGGTCCATCTGTGCTTCTAGCTATCCATTTCAAGTATATATTCCAAAAAAGAAATAGTAACACTTTATAAGTGCAAATAAAAACACATTAAAAGGACTGAGCGAGGGGTTTTTTTTCCTGCTCATAAAGTACATGTGGATCCCATCCAAAAGAGTTGCTGTGAGCCATGTAACTTGTAATTAATTCTGCTATAAATGTCAGAACACTTACTTTGCAGGTCTAAGCTGACCCACTAAAATTAGTCCCCTTTTAACAATTCCTTTTATAATTTGTTTTTCAGCAGAAACGGCAGCTTGACCTCCTGACAATAACCAGCCCTGGTAAGTGAGCTCTGCCGCATGGCTCTCTTCTTTTTCTTAAAGAGATGGTTGTCTAAATGTCTTTTTCCCCCCTCTCTGACATGCAAAATGAAAAACACTGTTCCCCAGAAAATCTTTCACGTAATAACAAGTGACAGCTATATTGTGCTTGGCAAAGCCCCGGGCAGTTATCCATTCACAGAGCTGCCTCTTCAGACCTTTACTCTATGAATTTGAGTGCTGATATTTCTTTAAGCCTCCTGGGGTTATAGTTAGCGGTATGTCTGCAGGGCAGATGCCCTCGAATTCACAATGTGTGTTCAAGTATCACCAAAATGCAAGTTTGACTTTCCTTGGTGGCAAATGTGAGCAGTTTGGGGAGTAAGGAGATGGTGGCCCTCTGTGCACGTGGTGGGAATCAGGAAGTCCAGGCATAGGTCTGGAGAAGCCCAAAGTGGGTCAGAAAATATTTAGGGAAAATTAAAATGCTCTAAACGATCTGCTTCATAATGGCTTTTGCCATTTTCCTATTGAGGAGATAAACCAAAATGTGTTATACTGGGAAAGTGTTGGGCTTTTTGGCATAGTGAGTTTCAAGGGTCTCAGCACTGTGATTGAAATGCAGGTCGTTTGAATAGTGCTTCTCTTTGATCTCAGCTCTTAAGGCTGGGTGGCTTTTAATTTATTGCTATTTTTTTCTGGCTCAGTTTCTTTCCATTAGCTGCTAAAGAAGTTTGCTGCCCACCAGCTGTAGATGTACACCATGCTTGAATGGTGCTACCTTTTTGTTTAACTTTTTCAATTTTTCAGATGTATGTACGTATTAAGCTTTCAGTTTGGCTTTAACTGGGACTAATGAGTTCTGGCTTTAACTGGGAATAATGTGTTAGCAAAATGAACAGGTGTTATGGGAAGTGAACAAAATCTGACACACATTTGCTTGGATAACAATTTTGCATCAATAATTGTTCTGACACTCTAAATGTAGATATCATCTGTGACATGGTTTCTCCTTCACTAACCTTGTTAAAATAATAAGAATTAAAATAAGGAGGAGGAACACTTTGTTGGGACAGATGTTTGAGGCTATTGGCAATTGCATCACATTTTTGCATGTTCACTTTTCATGCAGTTTGCAATTATGCTAATGTATGCTCAGGGCACTTGCTGATAAAAGCAACAATACAGTGTGATACAGCCATTGTCACTATTCTGTCTGTAACTTCAAGGACAAACATAGCACATTTTTCATTTTTCGTATCTTCAGCATTCCCTATTTCTAGAAGAAAAAGAAAAATATCTCTGAAGGTCTTAATCATAATAAACACTCAGATCTTGGATAAGGGCACCAAAGTCCACAGACTTTTCTTTTAATAGGAGAAAAGGAGGGCTGGGGACCAGAATAGCTTAATATGATACTTTTCCGTAAAACAAATTCATAATACCTTCCTCATAATTTCAGATACAGTATTCACTGGAACAATGAAAGGGTTGACTAAGTTGAGTTTGTGCATAGATGTGATCACAGCAAGTAGCTATCACTTCAGATCTCTCAGTTTAATACAGCAATCTACTAAATCAAAAAGCAATTAGGTGGAAGGATCAAAATAGCTAAATACTAAACCAACTTTCAATGTGTAGTTAGACATACTGCACTAAAAGGGGGGAAAAAGCTTTCCATAACATGTATTTTTTTTCTGAAGTGCAAGTTTTACCCTTTGATATTTAGCCAGAAATCTACAATAATTGGCTACATAGGAAAAAAAGTAGTATTTGTGCCATGATTATATAATTGAGTGCCTGCAGTTTTGCTTTCAGTAAAGGCATTTTCAAAAGAAGCCTGATGCTGGATCAGGCCGAACTTACTTAAGAGCCTAAAGCTGAGATTTTTCAAAGAGGCTGAAAGAGTTAGGCACTTAATTCATAGTAGGATTGGAAAACGTCAACCTGTGGATTAAAGGGTCCAGTCTGGGCCTTACAAATAAAATAAAATAAAATAAAATAAATCACAGTCTTGAGGCTTTTATCTATCTTTGGAGACTGCAACTTTTAAATATTTCATTCTTTCAATCCAAGCTCTAAGATCTGACATCAACAGTCTGCTTTTACAAAGTCGTGATATCGTTTATGATGGCTGAGATCAGCCATAATCACTGCCATCCCTTAATTTACTGATTAAAGTTAGGGAATGGGCTATTTATTTGCAGCTGTTAATCCTTTGGGAGTTGTTCCTGTTCTCCACCTTGCCGCAGGCAGGCAGCCTTCGTTTGTGGTGGGGGTCACTCAGCCTTATTGAATGAAGTTTGAATTGAAGTATGAAAGTCCTCCATGTCTCACAAGCAGTAGGAGCCACCAAAGCCTTATTGCTTAATTTTAAGAACAGACAAAGGACTTCAAAACCAAAGGTGACCTCTGTGATTTGCACTTCTGTCATGAAGAATATCATCTTTCTTTTGTGTGTGTGTGAAATTCTCGAACCAGTTTTCGTACATTTAATCAAGAATTGCTTGGTGATCCCTTGCAAGTATTACAACAGCTCTTCTCCATGTGCCACTAAAAAAATTTCCAAAACTTGATCAGCCAATTAATGAGATTAATTGCAAGGTAAAATAATGCCATTAATGTCAATAAAGGTCTGTTGAGACACAAGTGCCTAAACATTCAAAAGACAGTTTGTGGGATCACAGAGACCTTATGTTACCTCATGGCAGTTGCGCTGTCTCCCCTGGCCATGGTTGTTGCACGATTCTGCAGGAATCATTAACATTAACATTAGCATTTGCATGTTAAACTGAACAGGTATAGATCATTAATCTGTAACCTGGACTGAGGGCACTCTGGAAAAAAATGGGAAAAAAAGGAAAAGGAAGAAATGCAGAGGGTGAGAGCTGCAGCTCCAGCTACAGATTTTGTATGCAACATACAGAGCCGACCTGTGCCAGCGTCCCTAAGAAAACAGCTACGGAAAGCTCTGTGATATGCCCCAAACTGGAGGAAGACTTTGCTTTGCTGTGGGTCTCCAGAAACAGCCAGACACAAATGATGCATAAGCTGGGAGCGAGCCAGACTTCCTCATGCTCAAATATATTCCTTTGAAGTAACTGACACCCATGTAAAATGTGGAGGGGAGTTCACTGCTCTGCCTTACTGCTGAGTAGCTGGAGGAATGTTAAGTTAAATTTATCAGTGCTCTCGCCACACTCCTTTCTTCGTGCCCCTTGACATGTGAGTTACAATTAGACTGTAACACGCTGTATGGTTCAGGGTGCCAGAGTCAGAGCTGATGTGCGCAGTGGGGTGGGGGAAAGATGTTAAAAATTCATCAGTAGCTGGCAGGGACGTGCTGGCAGGGAGTGGGACATAATGAGGCTTAAGTTTTGGTAATTTAAATTTTCTTTAAACTTAGTTTTACCTCTGAATTTGATCCAAAACATTTCCTTAACACTTCTTCTAGTTGACTTTGGGTTTTAGAACCAAATCTTCAGGTGGTTTAACTTGGCCTTGCTGCACAAAGGACCTGAGGATCCGCCCTTAATTTCTACGTGATCATGTTCTAATAACGCTTTGAACATGCACCATACAATCACATCACATTTTGTGGTAACCACTCAATAGTTGCAAATAAGATATCCCTGTTTCCATAGTTTTTCCATGGAGACAAAGCTTTTTGCATCTCCTGTGTTTACGATAATAATACAGCTTTCCAATTTCTCTTCTCAGTAAGGTAAGTTCATCTCCCACTGAAGGATTTTTTAATTATTGATACCATAAATGGAAGTGTGTTGGAAACTATTGGCTTTGAAAATAGCTAACGTGATATTATCTAAGAACCATCAGGAAAATTCTTTTGAAATTCTTTTTGATTCAGCCGTCCTCAGGGCTTTATCCTTCTCTACCAGTCTCTCTACTGCCAATTTAAAATAACATTCTCTTGAAATCAGTCCAATGTCAGGAGAAATTCATCAGCACCGTAGGTGCATGTTTCCCAGATGTATATAAACCTACTACATTTGGCAGCAGTAAATTGATTGCATTTAAAAAACCTGGGGTAGTTGAATATTCCATAGTGCCCAGCTTGGCTACAGCATGGAATATAAAGTATTTTAAGTTTCTTTCAGCTCTGTTTTAGGTAAGAGTAAAAAAAAGTAAGAGCTTAAAATAAAGTAAGAGCTGACTCCATAATTCCTGCCTTTTGATTTACTGAGATTTTCCTCTCACCACGTTCGAGGTTTACATGCAGGGATGGAGTAAGATATCCCTAATCTCTGTGGAGCGGCATTGAGATTTGATCAGAAATGTTAATGAACTTGTGTGTGCTTCCCCCTAATATTTAAGCTCTTACACTTTTAAACAGGGAAAAAAGCTTGATTTTAAAAGTATTTATCAGACTGATGTATGTGGTGAAATATTCTCCCTCCTTTAATATCGTCAGTGCTGCATGCTCTAAAAATGTCTCCGTTTCATTAATTTGTGATACACTGCTACACTGAATTCTTTTAAGGTGGCTTTAGTTTCTGCCATACATATTTTACTGCTTTAAATTATAGATATAGGACTGTTGCCTAGTTAATTTCCTCTGGTTAGGAAAATATATTTCTACTCTCCTGGCATTGCATAAAGTGATATGTGGGACTTGCTGTATTTTTTAGCTGATTAAGTTTTGCATTTCTACATATTACTGCTTATGAGATCTCAAGTAAATCTGTGTAAAGGAAGGAGAAGTTTTATAGTATATTTGAAAGTTTCATTTAACTATAAATTCCACCACTAAGCCCACCTACAAGACTTTTCCATTACCTTCCTGGATAGTCTGGCTATCTACTTCTTTCTAATTGAAGCATGAAAATAATATGAACTCAAAGTCATGAAGCTATAAGACAGGCATTAGTAAAAATGATACAGAGTAATAAAATGTGACAGAAAGTTGTTTGCTGTTAAAACTTGGGTACTATTTTTGCTAGTCCTTATTAATTAATAGTACATTGATTTTGGTCTAAGTATGTGTCAAGGGATAGCGTCTG